CGTAAAAAATCCAGACTCGAGAGTTATGAAACCATAAAAATGACGTAAGATTAATTAAAAATGCGCCACATTTATTAAAAACAATCAGACTCCCAAAAATTCATCCAGAATGGTCCAATTCACCAATATGCAGTATCGATTAGTAATCGACCACTTTCATAATTTATACACATAAATTTAGGTCAGAGCGGTCGCAGATGTATGCACATTTTCAGCTGCAAAACTGCAAACATGTTAATCGGTAAACATGAAAAAAAAACCTCACAGTTGAAATTTTTGTAGCTTTGGCGGTCTTGTCAATCCATTATCACATTTAGATTTATCTACAAATGTGCAGCAATTGCAATTTCATGAAATCGTGAAAATCAATTACTCGAAATGTGCTCACATTATTAAATTACACTTACAAATTGCATTAATAATTGATAGTGCGGTTAAAAACTGTTTCCATAAAAGGACTTATTTCGACACTATAACGTTAATGCATAAATAATATTCAGCGACAGGGTCAAAAGTAAGTTAATGAGCGAAGATAGAAAAACAAACAAACAAACAACTGTAATTAACATATTTTCTGTTGCTATCTATTCTTATAGCGTCAGTCATAACACTAAGTTAAAATACACATAGTTGGATGATAAGCAAGAAGAAATAGAAACCATTACAATATTTTTATCATCATCGCTATTATTATTGAGCCATTAAAAATGATGCGTGCTGAATTCTTTCTTTTACATTTTGTGGAATTTTTTTCATTTTTTGATTCTTCATGGTTTTCGCATATTTATGGAAAGTTGAGGGATTGGAGATGGAAAATTGCAATGTCCTTTTTATTGCTACTTATTAACATTATTATAAATAAGCAGCATTATCAGGACATTATTGGCTTTATTAAGGACATTGGAATTCTAGCATAGGGGATTTGGGATGGTACAATAAATCATCGATCGCAGTGCCGCTTTTGCTATCAGCAAAACCCTACATTACATTCTATTCTAACATTAGTAAGAGTCACTGTAAATTTAATTTGTGATTCAAAAATCGCTGATTTAATCAAGGCGTGTAAACTTAGGATTAATTCTGAAAAATCCCAAAAATTCTAAAATCATTGAGCCAATAAAAATGAAAATGTCAAATCCCTTTTAAATACCGAAATTATTCATCAAATGAATCAGGGATACATTTATTGGCTCAAGGATTTTTTAAGAATTTCTGAGATTTTTCAGGATTAATCCTGAATTTCTACACCTTTGATTTAATTATTAAAACAAAAAGCTTAGCTAATACGCAAATAAATTGAGCTTTTTGAAAAAAAATTGAATAGTTCAAGTTCCCGCCTTCCCTCCACAAAGTGGGATCACATTCAAATAAGATAGGAAAGGTTTTACAATTTTAAGACACATTCGAACATTTTTTAATTTTGAAGCTTGTGTCAAGTGAAAGAGAAGGGAGGTGGGAGTGAAGTTCCATTTGTTTAGGCATCTCCGATTTCCCGATCCCGAAATTGATTTATTAATTGACGTCATAACAAAAAGCCTCTAACCTGACTAGACCTTTACTTTAACATTTAACAAAAATAAAAGAAGCAGTTCATCGCATGCATATTGAATCACCTTAAGAACACATAAGAATGCATATCCATCACATTAAATCCCATCATAAAACTCATCCATCTAAAAAGAGCAGTAAATCATAAATCACAGCATGAATTATCACACACCACAAACAATTTTCATAATGAACCATTCGCTTGAAGGTAGAAAAAAATTAAAAAATTTTCTTTTCTAATTTGCGAAGCCAGCAATAACACACCTTTACCGCAAAAAGGTCTCTCCATTGTTCATTTTTATGCTTTTTTTTCTTCAACTTCTTACATTTGACTGTCTCTTTATATTTATTAGCTGTGGTTATCGATTTTCACCACCATTTTCATAATTAACTTTCCTTTTCTATAGAAAAAATTATCATCATCATTGTACCAACCCTGATTTTTACTTCCATCTATCGCCTTCATTTCTATAATTTATTATATAAAATATTTTTCTTTTCATTTTTCACTGATTATTGACTATGGTAAAGAATAAGATCCATTTATTTAGGTTATGCATGTCGAAATATGAAAAATGTTTGTTGGTCAGGTGATTCTCACCATAACAATAGATATGAAGACACTCCTGTTGATTAAAAGTCCTATTGACCTCTATTTGGTAAGGCGTCAAATAAGCATTCTTTGAATACCAAATTAGATTCCTAATGTGGCCTTCTATGCTACATGTAATATTATTGCAATAATCAGAGGCATTAAAATGCAAACTGTCAAAGTAAATAAGCAGACAGACTTGAATATTTAATGAGTTAACATTAATTAAAGTACCTTAAAATCTAATTGTAGAACGGCTGCTATTCAATCTTGTTAGACAAGCTTTTATCATAAAATGTATCATGTGCTTATTATTTCATGAGCATCATAATGAATGAATATTTATAGAAGATTATTTAATAATGCAATTTCATTCACAGTAATGCACACAATTAAATTAATTAAATTTAATAATTTATATGATGCTAATTTTGACGAAGTTTAATTATTTTTTGGATAGGTTAGGGTTTTGGGTATTGCTTGGAGGTTCATAATTAAATGTTCAAATTTTATATAATAATACAGATTACCACGAAAGCTTAATTAAAGCAAAAACAGAACTCCCCATAACATTCAGCTAGGCCCTTGATATTAAGGATTAACGCCATACTAATGACTTGATGACTAAACTTATCCCAGCGACAATAACCTTTCTTGCAATCACAATGATTTAGAACACAAATCCTTATCAAAATCAAAGTGAGAAACCTGACAAATTTCTTTATTTTTGTTTGTCAACACACACTTTAAATACACCACTCAAATTGATAATGTCGCATGTCAAGTTATCAGTAAAATTAAATTCAAACGACATTTGCTATTTTTAAAACTTTTTAACACAAAAAAAATGATTTAAAAAGAATTTTTTGAATCTCATTATTTTGACTCCCACGTTTGAGAGAATTGTCATTTTTTTTCTGTCTGTTGAATGACTTTAATGTTTTTGTTTGGCTCTTAAACTCCATATTTACTTCTTTCGCTGGTTTTATAGATCATTTATGATACATGGTAATATGGTATCCTATAAATGTCATTCGAAGCTTTTTGCTTCACTTTCTAGTCCTTGCTAGCTGCTAAATTCAATGCTTTCCCTATTCAAAGCTTCCATCCATTAATTCAGAACTTTGAAGAACAGATTTTAGATTTGCTATTAGCATAAGCCAGTTTTTATGGCTTTTTGGGTTACGGTAGAATCAAGAACTGATTTACTCCACATTTGTGTAAGAATAGAATTTAATTTCGACTGCGATAAGTGTCTTGAATAGGCCCAAAAGCTACTCCATGTTAACACACTCAATATTTTGTCTTAATACGACGAAACAGACAAAGCGATATTTAAGTCGAAAAAATTAAAATAAAACAAGTTCGTGTTTAAGGAACAAAGATTTATCAGTTCAAATATGGTTCTTTTATAAAAAGAGGTTTAAAATTCCATGAGATGCCAAATGATGCCTATATAAGCTCATCTCTGTAGCCACTCTTAATTAAACTCACGTCTAGTGCATTACCTAAAATATTAATGTGCATTTCAAACAAGATTTTATTAAAATTCGACAGCCAGGATGATATTTATTGCCTTTCAATTCCAAAAAATAAACAGCATTATGAGGTCATAAAATTGCAAATTTCCGAATGCATTTAAAACTATTAAAAAGATGCATTATATTCAATTTGAATATCAAATCGATATGAATTTAAATCGAACGTGAATAACATAATTTTAAACCTAATTCAGCAGAATCAGATTATTGATTTCGTAATTTATGCTCAATTTGTTAAATGAGTGCATTTCCATATGCATTTGCAAAAATACGTAAATTCCAAACATTAAAATCCTTTAATGCATCCTCACACTCATGTGTTTACTCATTCATTCCTTCCCAATTTCATTTCAAAACTGCGGATTTCATAAAATTCATCCCGATCAATATTATTTTCATTTTATTCACTTTTAGCAAATGTTTGCATTTTATTTTTAATTTATTGCCTATCCAGAAAGTTTTATTTTATTATTTTGTGATATACATTCAGTTAACATATATGTCGAAGATAATAAAAAGATTGAAGACATAAAAAAATCAATTCCGGAAAAAAGAAATCGTTTATAAATGATTCTGCTGCTGCATTTGTTTGTATGTCTCTGTGTGACCTTTATCTGTCTATTGATTTTAATAATTTATTGTGCTAAAATTTTATATCATCAATAAAAGAATCGAGAATGAAAGATTGAAGGTTCATTGAGGAAAGAAGAAGGTGGCAAGTTATGAAGATATTAGGAAGTCTGGTGGCAAGAGTGGATTTTGGAAGAAGGTATGGAATAGTTTGGTATTTTAAAAGTATTAACATTAAAATATCAAATCCAAATATCATTTAAAGCTATTCCCGAGCGAAAAAAAGTTTATGTTGACCTGGTGATGACACCTTGTTGAATTTCTCCGTTCGCATGGCTGCCTTATACTCATGGCAACGTCAAGACAAAACCACGTCGACACGAAATAATAAATCTAAATAATTATGAATCGCTCTTCTGTAACGTAATAAATAAATGGTCCTTATAAGGCCCTATTAAAAATGACATGAAACATGAATAATAATTGTAAGTAAAATAATGAGTAACATAAGATGTGTAATTTATAGTTTAATCATATTAAGGTTGGTCAAGCAACTTTAGAGAGCAATGTCCTGCTTTCAAGCCAGACTAGATATTTTACTAATTTCTCCAAGGCTAAGTTTATGAAAGTTCAACAACAATCGACGTAGAAGTTAAATAAAAGCCAGAACTTTTATTTCTTTATACAAAACTTGACCTTCATTGTTATAAGTTTGGTTTTAAGGTTTTTAAGGCACATATAAACTTATATTAGATAAAATTAAAAATGATCAGCACAATATTTACGAAAGATAATATCAAACAGAATCCAATCATGCAATATCTTGAAAAATCCAGAGTTATGAAGTTGTCTTTTTTTAATTCTAAAGCTTTAAACCAGATTGTCTCATATCCCGTGATCCTGTCATTTATGGATTTTGTTAAGATTTCAGTCATTTTTACAATTTTTGCATTCAAAGATTTATCTAGGATCTCAATATTGTCATTTATGGATGATCCATTTTCTAAGGACTTTTCAGCAGTTTGACTTGAGTTTCTTGCAACTGAACTAAGATTAACAAAAGAGCTTTCAAGCTCTGTGATCTTAAAACTCATTTCCTTTCCCAATCTCATTAAGTTATCATTCAATTCAGTCTTTAAACTTTTCATTTGAATAAGAATCTCAGATGTGGAATTCATTGCAGATGTTTCGATAATGGAGATTCTTTCATTAACAGACAAGAAAAGTTTGGATTTCCAGCTTATAATGTCTTGAAATCGTTCCTTGATTGGCATGTAATGTGAAACTGAAGAATTTTGAAATCTAATTTGCAGATTTTGAAGTTTTTGATCAAAAATTGGCAATGTTTCAGGATTGACACAAAGCAGTGAGTTTTCCAACATTTGAAGGTTCTTTTCAATTCCAGTAAATCCTAAACATTTAAGTTTTACTTGATGCGTGACTTTTTTTACATCTGTTTGGTTAGAATCAGCTCTAATATTGATGCATTTATTTGATTCTAGATTCAACCAAGCTAATTTATTTAAATCCTCAAAAACTTGTTGCCCAATGTGAATTATTCTATTTCTTTTAATGCATATATAAATAAGATCTGGATTATAAGCAAATAATCCGTCTTCAAGAATTTCAATATCATTTGCATCTAAATCAAGATGCACCAGCTTTGAGAATGATTGTAAATCACTTTGCTGAAGTTCCTTTAAACGCCCATGACGTATTACAATCAATTTTAAATTTGTGAAAATATTTTCCAAATAACGCGGGAAAAATTGAATAACACGACCCGAATTTTCTGAGTAGAAGCAACCTACATCAGCATTCCCTTTTCCTTTCGAATGATTTCCAGTTTCTGAATCGATTGAAGCTGATTCTTTTGATTTAATGTTGACAGTATTAAGGAGATTGCATGAATAAACGTTTACAACCGAAACATAGGAACCAGCGTAATATTTACAGTGAATATTAACAGAATCACTTATACTGCACAGCATACAAGATATAAAGCTGAAATTTTTCAAACACAACAATTAATTTACAAACCAGATGCAAAAACATACAACTTACATGACAATTTCCTTCATTGCCATTTTTAAAGCTGATACATTAACTTTCGTTCAATACTCTTTCAACTTGTAGCTCATACTAAGCATTAATTAATTTTTTAATGTTTTAATTGCTCAACAAATGGTAACAAAATGACTCAAATGATGAGTCAAAATCTGAATTGACTGAGCAATAACGAGGCTGACCATCTATGTAGTTTTTCAAGGAAGATATGTTTTTTTTAACAAGCTTTGTAAGTTTCCGTTATCTTCCTAAAAATTAGATGCACACTCTAGCAATAAAAACCCGAAAAACACGACTTACTTTAAACCAATTTTAGTTTTGTGACTACTAGGGAGATTTGGTAAATTATTTCATATTGTAGATTTTTGAAAGCTAGTCCAAAAATTTTTAAGTCATCATTTTTAAAGTTTCTGACATTCAAAACAGTTATGAATAAGTTTAAAATTGGAAAATTTATAAAAAATTGATGTGATAGTAATTAAGCTCATAATTTGCGAATAAGCTATGAATAGAGTAAAGAGTAATTTGCAGAGGTCGAAGCCGACATGAGTTCGCTCCGGTTCGCTAAAAAACCGATTCAAATTTGAATAGATTTTTTTCTGCTGCCACTTGTGAAGTACAACATTTTATACAAATTTACCGGTTATCGAATCGGTTTTTTAGCGAACCGGAGCAAACTCATGTCGGCTTCGACCTCTGGTAATTTGTAGCTATATGTGGTGCTCAATGAATAACTCATCCAGTCAAAACCACAAAAAAAAATCTTTTATAGGAAACATCACACGATGGATAAATGAGTTGTCCGGATATTTTACGATTCTAGAAGTTCCAATTTTAGTCAGAACTGTAAAAGCTGATATTAGCTTGACGGTTGTCGATTTAACTAGTGTAGACGTTGACGTTGTGGATGTAAACCTATGTAAACGAACAAATTAAGCACATTTTACTTGTAAACATCAGATCATATTCAAGTCATTATCGGAACTTAAAACCAAGATCCAGTAGAATCTTATCCATTTTCGAAATCATTGAATGTTGCCATCGCATCTCCACCTCTTCTCCCCTCAAAAACCTAAGCTAAACAACTGCTTATTTAAATTAGATAATGTGAAAGTAATTCTTAAAAGTAAAGCACACCACATTCAGTACACTTTCCACCCACATATCCATCAGTCACTCATTCATCCAAGAAACTGAGACATTAGTCACATTCATCTTAGGAAAAAATGCACTCAAAGTTATTGAAAATAAGAAGTTGGGTGAAGCTTTATCACCTTCAGTTTTATAATCGGCTTTCATGTGTTCTTCTTTCTTTCCTCGTGCTTGAGATATGTGCTGTACATTTTAATAAATTGTTGCTTTGCCATTTCACAAAAATTGTTGTTTTTTGGCTTTTAGAATCTTTCTTTTGAGATGTTTGATTGATCGGTTTTTTGAAACAACACTTTACGCATCTTCTGAGACTACACATTAGGGATATTGGATGATTTAAGATTCCAGGAAATTTATGGATACACTTAAATTTGATCATAAAACTTTTCAATGTAAAAGTTTCACATCCCTTGTTGATGTTACTTTAAAAAGATGAGGAACATGAGACGATTCTTCTTTTCAGCATCGATTCTTGTCTTAAATTTATGATTTTTTTTTTGCAGCTTACGAGAGTATTAAAATATTTTATTTATTCTTCTGATGATTTATGATTATTTTAATGATAATGCTCATGAATTTGATTAAATTTCAGTTCAAGCAACTTCTTACGTATTCTTTATACTTTTTTTGGGGTAGAGGCTGGATTCTTTAAGTATCGAATTTCTTGGTTTCATTAGAAATAATCATAAATGTTGATGAATTCAGAATCTGAAAATGTATTTTGGATGTCTTTACCAAGTAATTGAATGTCGTAATAATGATTTAGAGTTGTTGATTGTGAAGATATCAAGGGCATGATCGAAAAAAGTTAAAAAGATTTGGAATCAATATCTCGTGTTTTAATTTAACTTTTCCTGAAAGAATCTACTTTAAAACTTAGAAACTGAACTCAAACTCAGACCAAGCTGATCCCTGAACCCAAAATGGCATAACGACCAAAAAACATACAACACTGTCACATCCTTAACTAAATGTCATCAAATTTATATACAAAATTCATTAATAATGATGACTCCATAAAATATTCCATAATCATCTTAATTGAAGGTTAACAAGGCCAATGAAGTATATTAAATATCATTAATTAGATGCAAGAATAAATTTTTGTTTTATTTTGATTTAATTAGGTAAAAATGATGTGCAAAATAATTCATCACATTAATTACATTTGATTAATTGACCACACTTCATCGGTGAATATTTTTATTTTTCATTCATATTTTAAGAGATAACCTGGGCAAGTATGGTGTCAAAAATTATCTTGTTGGTTTGCAAACATAGACCCACACAAGAAGCAGTTGTTTATTTTGATTAATCCCCAGACTAGTCTGTGGGGTTGTTAACGTTTGGTGTCTAACATTGGTTCTTGGATGGGATGAGTCTCTTTATCGAGAAAATATAGATCACACAGGTCCTCAATGAACTGGAGGTCATGGTCCGAAATTGATGGTTTGACGGAAAATTCAAAAATGATCAAAATGATCAAAATTTATACAAAATGACCTTTTCACTGAATTGATGACATTAGAGAACGATGTCTCTCATTTTTTGAGGAAATTACACACAAAAATATAAGAGGGGAGGGGGGGGGGGTCAGCAAGAAAAGAACAATAGAAATTCCTGGAAATCCATTGTTCTTTTTTGAAAATGACCGTTAATTTCGGACGTCATAGGTGAACGACCCCCAAATTTAATTGCTGTAATGTTTGTACAGCTTTATTTCCTATAAGCATAAGGAACTGTTGATTGACGAAGTAAAAGAAATAAACATTAGATAATTAGCAAGTTTGAGCAACAGTTGTAGGTAGGTAGGACAGAAATAAACAATTATAATAGCTGTAATGTAAGGAAATAATGAAATGGTCATGCATGGAAGTAATGTCAGTGATAATCAGACTCATTTTCCATATAAAATAATTAACAATGAACAAGAAGCGCCAGAATTATCACTGAATACTTAATAATGTCTAGCAAATCGGCGTAAATGAAATAAATTAATTATATTAACATTAAGATTGAAGGTAAATAGCAATAATGGACACCCACACACATAGCAACAGATCTTTATACAATATATTATCCGAGCATAAGTAAATGCGGTCATAAATCATCGGAGATGAAAGGAAAGAGCGAGAAAAAAAATATTAACAAAAAGCACTTAATAATTAATTTCCAACATGAGTAATTAACGTCCATGTCGTCGATTATGTGTGTACATATTTGTTTCCAATTCAGTAAATTTCATTTATGCTTGAAATATTTAATTTAGCGCCAAATTATGTCTCTATATTATTAATAACTTTGATAACCTTCCTCTTTTTGTGTGACTGATTTCTCATCACACATACTCATATTTTATGGACATTTTTACGCATTTATGGACCTCCAGAGATGAATCAATCTCATTGTATTCCAAAAAAATGTGGGACACTTTAAATAGACCACCATGTGACTAATCGATTACAGGTATTGATCCGCGAATATGTTAAGCAGTTCCAGGAAATCTTCATTGACTAACTCGTGACGTTGCCGTGACTTTTTCCATCATGAACTAAATTGTGTGTGGGTAGATTGTTATTATTCGCATTAAATAGTTGACTAAGTAGCTATGATGAATATCTGTGTCATTAACAAAAATTCCATAAATAATTCATCGCTACTTCCCTTTTTATTTGTGCATCATTGAGCGTCTGGAAGGTCCATTATGGACAGATTTACAAATGAGTTTTATGATCTGTTAAGTATTATTGTTGGATTACTTAGCATCTGGAGTAGTTGTGATGTATTTTGAGTATCAGTATTGGATCTGCTTATAGTTGATATGTGTGTAATTGAAAAGAATATTTTTAATTGTTTAGGCATCGAACCTTTGGTTGCAAATGACTTGATATCTGATGACTTATTTGATAAATCGTAACTTCTTTCTGACTAATGGACCTGCTATTTCTACGAATATTTATTGTGAGTCACAAGTGCTGGTTTCCTGAAACAAGATCAATAATCACATCTGGTCAATCGAAACCAAGATTTAGGGCTTGTTTGAAGTGCTTCCGGGGGTACCTCTTCTAAAGTAACCTGACTGTAAGTTAATCGATTCTGATTCAATGATAAAATTTCTACGATAGCCCTATGAACTGCTTTCACATCTAATGCTTGACCTACATTTCGTTCATGATCCAATAATTCTATCAAAACATAAATTTTGCAATATTCAAGTGAATAACAGTCCCAATGTAATCTCTTGTTCCTTCAAAAACATTCCAAAAACAAACAACTTACATCGAGGTCAAATCGCTAATCAAATGAAATGTAAACAAAAATGACCTTGACGAAAGCTCCATGCGTTATTACACACATTTTTAATAAAGAAAGTTTAAAGTATCACAAAATAATGATAAAAATGAAGGACGTCAATGATCATGAATTCTGTCACACCATTAAATTTTTACGACCAAATTTCTACATTCACATTAATTTTTTTTATGAGATTTCACGGTCAAATCTGGTGTACATGTGCCATTTAGTCTATGCGAAAAAAAATGTGTGATTGGAATCAGTAATCCGGCTACCTTTGATGACTCTCCTAGTTTTGCACATAAAATATTAACTTAATTAATTTATTCACATAAAATTATTTTTAAAAAGATTTATTGATGTTGTCCTAATTTGCATCGAAGTGATGTCATTAAAATAGACCCACGTCGCAACATTCAGCATTAAAACAATGACTCATTTTCACAGCGATTTCAACCGGCACGAGAAGATGGTACATTCCATTTTCCAGAGCGTTTCGCACTCATCATAAGAAGCGACATAATAAACACACATCACACATATTCCTTTCGATTCAGTTGCAAAAATTTCATCAAGCTGTGAACATCGAAAAAGTAGTTACAAAGACGATTGTACGGCAAAAAATAAATCAGAAACGTGCGTTTAAGTTCATTTTTTTGTGTTAAAAAATTCTTTAAGTGAATATAAAAGTGGATTCGCCTTTTGTTTCATCCATAGAACATTTCTTATTTTTTTTTTGCTACATTCTCAGTGAAGCAGTAGTGATTTATTGAAGTGATAAAAAACTACAATTTGAGGTTTATATTTTATACTCAGTCTTCTTTTCTTAAGAATTAGATTGGGTAAGGAGGATAAGAGAAACGGAAAAAGAGAAAGACTTTTTTGTTTTTTTTTGCACTCGACAAAGTTTTTAAAAAATGAGAAAAAAAAATTTTTTTTCTTACTTTTGATGAGATTAACAACTGGTTGAGGAATGAAAATTTTTACGATTTTCATTCAATGTCGATTGTCGAATTTCTTACTTTTATTGAATAAAGATCAGATAAAATGAGATTACATCTAGGAATGAGAAGAATGGATCATATTATTATAAATGATTCAATTCCATTAATTTAATATCGTAAATCAGTATTATGAATCCATATAGGCATGTGATGTTCTTATGCAAATTTAAACTGCTTAATTGATTAGAAAATAGGCGACACGTTACCTGTGGTTTAGCGCATTTCGGCAACTTTTTTTTCTTTATTTGTTCTAAAACGTGATTTTATCGTAATTCCAAATTTATGGATATCACAATCTTTTCCATATAAACAAAAGAGAAGTGGTTCTCAAACTCTGTGTCACGGTATGCTTGCAGTTCTTCTGAGCAAGACTTGAATAATAATTTATCCGGTTAAGAACTCTTCAGAGACACCAAGGCTTCTTTAGTAATTAAAATGAGTTTAAACTTAATGCCAAGAGCAGTGTTTCTCAATCTTCTGACACGAGACGTCGATTCTTGTTTATTTCTCTTCCTCTTAATTTATCTTTTTGTCTGTGTATCTAACACAGTAGCTCTTACGATTGAAAGAAACTAATTGCAACCAAATTCTTAGAATGACGCTCTAAGACTTGTGCCACAAACCAAAAAAAGTTCCAGAAACACTGCAATAAAAATAGGCAAAAAAGATACAGGTTTACATTTTCGCAAGAAAAGATATAGATGCAAGGAACAACCATAAATAAAATGTATTTTTATTCTTATTCAAAATTCATAAGGCATATTGTACAATCAATTCGATTCATTTCGTGATAACATAAAGTCTAGGAAGGTAACAAATTTTTTTTAGTCATGTCAAAAAATATCAATTTACTGTTGTGCAGAAATTTATTTATAACCAAAAACGTAGGATGGCATTTTGCTCTTTACGTAAAGTCGCATATTTGCTGGTCTATCACACACCTTACAAGCACTTTAGCATATCATTTTGATGTTAAATTCTTGTTGGTATTTTGGAGGGTCAGCAATAAATTACAGCTCTGCTCTGCATTTTAGACACCATGAATGAACAACCCTTAAAATCGCGCTTTAATTTCCATTAAAAACCCGAGTTGCAAAAAAAAAATGTCAGCTTTATTGACATTCCCAGTGCAAATAGCTTTACCAACCCATAATGAGTTTTACTGAATACTAATTAAAATCTCATTTTACATTCACTGCAGTATCAACAAGTTGTTGTGGGTTTCTCAAAGGCTTTCATTACAGCTACCGCAAAAATAGATTAAAGTTATTTTAGAATTTTTGGGTTGCAGAAAGTTTCATCAATCATTGATTCTATTTGGAAAGTGGAATCCTTAAAATTATTGGTATAAGCTGCATGCTTTAAGTATCGTATTATCAAAGTTTTGAGGAACGAGGATTGAATCAGGAATGAAGTGTTGGTGGACTTTTTACCTTTTTAGACGAAAAATATTGAATTTCACATCGATATTCTGTTTTGAATGAAGTTTCGAATTTTCATCGTCATTCTTGACCTTTGATAATTAGCTGTGGTAATGCTTTTTAAAGGGAGATTGTTTGATGGTCTATGCAGGGGGGCAACAACATGAATCTAGATTCTCATCAATTTGATTCCATTTAAATTGGAGGTTCTGTAAAATCTTTTTGCCATCGAATTGTTATCCCCTTGGGTCTTGGTCAAGCTAATTTGTTGCAGGATGTTTACTTCTTTGTATGAATATTTAGATCAAAAACACTCGAGAGTTTCTTCACTTTTACAATTGAATAAATACTGTATTTAAAAGGCATTGATGCCTCAAGATATTCTTAAAATAGTATCTTCTCTGGTCGAAGCTTTCAAATCAATTCTACTTGAATGATGTCAAAAATTATTTATGTAAATATTCCAAGAACCGATTTGTCTATCTTCACAGTGAGTCACCTGACTCAAATTATCATATTAGCATGCGTAATATTCACAACAAATAATGTATAATGATATTAAGCAGTACAACTTGTCAATCTTTAGCTCATAAATTAATTTCTACGTAATTGCAACTTTCCTGAGAAATCTGAAACCATCAACGATGCATTCAAGGGAGACAGCTTCAATAATAAACAAGCTTATAACATAATACATTATTTTAAATAAATATTATGATAATGATTAATTAATTTTTAATTGACATTTTTTTCCTGTGAAAGAAAAAAACCCGAAATAGCATTGAGTTAATCTCCATTCAGCATGTTGGCATTGCTATTGATGGCAATTTTGACTCTCTCGATTTCTGTTCATTAAAATAAAAAATCATTAATGTTATTGAATTTTTTTTTTCATTCTCGTTTACTTTTAATTTCTACGATTTAAATATTTGATTACGATTAATGGAAATGAAAAAGACTGCAGAACGACCACTAAAATTTTTTTGGGGTTTTGGGTAGGGGCTGTTTATAAATTATGTATGACATCAGATGTGGTTTTTAAAAATGTGTGATGAACTATTGATTTTTTTCTGATTAATTGTGACAGAAGGAAGTGGAGGGTGTCTATAATTAAGTAAAATAGCTATAGCCTCCTCCATCTTGGGTTGCTTTTGGCTGATCAAGCAAAAATTGATTACGCTCTTCAATCAATGTGACAATCAACTGCTTGTAATTTATCTATTTTCTTTTGATAGGAAAGTCAGGACATCCCACGTGCCTCTGAAAAATCAAGTCAGACTACCTTTAAATGACTTTTCATTCCTAAGGATCCACTTAAAGCTGGCTTCTTCTTGAAAATTCCTAATATATAAAGTAAAATACCATCTAAATCAACTGCTTTCCTCAATGAGTTAGTTCTTTGAACTTTCATCTTCCCACCTTCTCTATCTTAAAACTTCTAGCTTCACAACGGGAGAATTTAGTACATTTGTCACATCTTTCTCATAAGAAATATAATATTCTTTTCCCCCTTCTCAACCAATTAATAGTTTTCAACCCAAAAAAAAATTAAAAATCTTAACTTAAAATTCTAGCAACGCCATTAAATTTCACACTTAGTGGACCACACTTATGCACGACCCCCTTATATCGCGATAAAGAACTTTTCGATGTCACACAAAAGTTCTTGTTTTTTGTTCTTCTCTTTTCATATTTCATCCTCTTATTATGTTATGTTGTTCACATCTCATGCGATCTTTTCTTCCATTCTCAATATATGTACGTAAATTTTATTCGTGAAGCCATCATGAGAAATGAGCAATGAAAAATAAAAAGGAAGAGAAGTAAAAAAAAACATATATTTTTAACATAATACATTCAAATACAATCTCAGGCGAAATAATTTTCGCATCCCGAGAGTATCATTTAGAATAAAAAATATGAGAAAATGTAGTGCTGCTCCGGTAAGAGCAGATGTACGTTTGCTTGCATAAAACATATACATTATATGAGAGAGAGATTCAAGTGCCTACTTTTCATGCTTAGGAGAAAGGAAGAACACTGAAATAACATTTCTATATAAGTATATGTTAAAGGTACCTGTGCCAACCAATAGCCCAACAAACATCAAGAGTCGTGCCGTGTTGAAACTTGAAAGTTTGTAAATTGTGAATGAGACAAGTTTTTCATGTTTTCCCTCATCACAAGGGGCCGTCAGAGGAAGTGAGATAGAGAACAAGTGAGCATAAAAAACATATTTTTTTTAGGATATATGCTACAAAGTTTTTTAGTGAAAAACTTTTGCCTTTTTTCTATATCTCTAATCATCCGTCTCACTTTCTCCATACAGAATATGCTTTTAGCTCTACATATATGAGATGTTGTGGATGAAATGACTTTTTGTTTTGTAGAACACTTGAGCGCATTTTTAAAATGTATGTTAATTATTGCTTCAAGCTGCGCGCGAGCTGTTGACTTTTAAAATAAGACATAAATGTCTTTTGAAATGTTATAACTGAATTAACGAAGTTGTGAATTTTTTGGCATTTTAAAAATCGAGAATTGATATGGTCAGGAATTTTAATGTCAATTTTTTAATCGCCAAAATGTTATTGCATGATAATCTTGTTAATCAATTTTGAAATTTGGTGTCTGTGCATGTGGATGTGACCTGCTGTTTGCAATTTGTTTTTTGGGGCGTGAGTTTGGATCTGACAATATTGAATTTAATCTATGCAAGAGCGCTTAGAGTTCCCAATTCCAACTCAAAGCCATTATCTGGTGCAGTCGAGTAGTTAAGCTTAGCTAGATCAAAATTTGGATCAAACTCAATAATCATTTAAACCTGTTGGGTTTTTTGATTGAAGACAATATTGTTCAAACACCTCGAAAAGTTTTGGATATGCCACTGATGTATCAATCCGCGATGTTTGAGAAATCACTTCCTGAAATTCTTCAGAAATAAATTCCACCCAGCAAATAGATTTGTCTTTAATATAAATCAATATAAACACTGTTGATGCCCATAAACCCCACCTTGAGTCTGCAACTTACTATAACTCATTAAGTTCCACCTCTAAAGTCATCAAAACTTTCATTTCCTGATAATCTACTGCTCCAGATTCTAATCTATTCCATATCAGGTTTAGAAACTAGATCAAATCTCAAAACCTCCTACACCCCTTGATTTTGTCATACAAAGCTTTAAGTGATATTAAAGAGCTTCAATACG